CACCAGGCAGGATCTTCCAGATGCCTCAATCCAGTCCCAGTGCAGGCTGAACCACATCGAGTATGAGGCAATAGAGAAAAATCAGCAATACTGATCTATTCTTTATTTAAAATTTGGAAATCTTTTATCATAGTTTTTTGCATTAATTTTGATTTTTGAGCTACTCCATAAAAATATTATTTAATCTTGATTACTGAGTTTTTGGCACCCGCTCACCAGGCCCTGGCCCCAGCCCCTTCCACTGGTGGCTCCACAGGACAGTCCATCACTTCATAGGTGACTTGATGAGACTCCAGCCACACTCATTCTGAGCCTCTTTAAGAAGTCCAGGTTAACACACTGATGATTATTACATGGCTTCCCAAAGAAGAGTGAAATAATGTGATAACAGTATCAATGAATTACTACCACAGTCACAGTTGTCTGTTACATTGCTACATATGGTATACATAAATAGCATGTGCTGAAAAATTCCTGAATTAATAACTCCTTAAGCATCACATTTTAAAAAAAACCACACAAAGATTCCTCTGTGAAAAGCATTTAGTAAGCCAAAAGGCAGCATTCTTCATTTTATGGTAAAGATAAAAAAAATATGAAAAAGTGGCCAGCAAGGAAAATCATTAGTCATTAATATTTAATGTACCTTACAGCTAGTTGACAAATTTTAGGTAAAATGTGACACAAAGTTGTATTTTATAACATATTTATGATTTACTTTATTATTATTATTTTTTTTATCCTCACCCAAGGATATGTTTTTAATTGATTTTAGATAGAGAGGAAGGGAGAGGGACAGAGAGAAAAACACCAATGTGAGAGAGAAACATCGATCAGTTGTCTCCTATATGTACCCTAGCAGGGATCGAACCTACAACCTAGGTCTGTGCCCTGACTGAGATTCACACCCATAACCCTCTGGTGCACGGGACAACGCTCCAACCAACTGAGCCAGGGCTATCATGATTCACTTTAAAATGTAGTTTTCAATTAGATACTTTACCAAAAAGTAGAGATTCTCAAATGCAATCACCGACCCACAGGATCCTATGTAACTCATGGTGACTTTCCATTGTTTATCAACCACTATGCTATAGAAAATTTTGAAAGACTACTTTATAACTATAATTTTTATCATTAAAACTAATGGCAGACAAGGACTTTAAATAATATTAGACCAACTCTCCTGCTTTCAATAATTATGAACTCTGGACAGAATAATAAAGGTACCAGATAGTAATTGAAAGCAGACAAAAACTGGAAGGGATATGAGGCTCACAAAAAGAAGAGCAAACTTCCTTTTCCCTGAAGGCATTCCCCAGTCCATGTAGCAGAAGAGGGAGAGAGTGCGAGCAGAAAAAGGAAGTCTCCCTGGCTGAGCAGTCAAAGGTGTCTGGACCCATCAGAGCAGCTGCAACTTGAGGAGCCCGCACCACAGACAGAGAAGTCCTGAGTGCCAACAACTCCACTCGAATCCGTAAGTGATTCCTGACTAGGCATGAGCAAGATGATAGGTAGGAGCCCAAGAGAATGCAAGAGTTGGAAGGCTGAAAGCCTGAGCATGGTTCTGGGGAGTGGGAGGTTTGAATTCAAGTCCTACCAAATTAGAGGTGCTTGGGAAACACCCGGGATTGGGGAAACACCGCTAGTTTCCACCGAATCCCCTTAGGGGTCATACTTTGGTATGGCCCATATCCCAGGACTAAGACTTAAACCATCAGACCCACCAGAGCAAAGCCTAAAACCAAGCCCTTCACAGGATCGTGGTGATCTTCCCGTAATGCAGCTGCCTGCTAGACCAAAACTCAGTGTTCTTTAGTGGAAGATAAACTTGAAGATGCATCACTCATGATGTCCAGTAAGTATGAAGCACAGAAAAACTGTACCCACAGTCAAGAGAAAGCGATGTTGAGAGAAACACACCCAAAGACGAACCAGATGTTAAGAATTGACAGACAAGGACTTTAAATAATTACGATAAGCATGTCTTAAAAATGCACACTTTGTGAATTTTACAAATAGTACCCTCGCCCACCCCCAACATTCTAGTGAACTTGAGTTGCCCATGATTTTTAATCAAATTGGGATTTGGGATGGTTTATATCGGAAAGTCTGAGACAAGCAACTTGAAAGTGATTAATGACAGCTAAACTTAATTATATATTTACACCTCCCAGTAGGACAAGGGAGAGAATGAAATGTCTTATCTCTCTGTAGTGAGAGGGCTTTATTGAGATCTGACAACAACTATTTAGGAGCAATGATTGAGTTTTATGCAAGATTACACAGGCTCTCCTTGCCTGGCATCCCAATATAATCACAGACTGACTGACTACTTAGGCTCCTAACAGTGAAAAGAAAAAACAACAGAGTTGAGCTGTGTACAAAACGAACCTTTGCAAGTACTTATCCTCATCCGTCAATGTGAGCTTACCAAGGATTTCTATAATTTCTGTAAACAATCATTATATTTTAGCTGAATCAGTAACATTAGGCTCTTTATACAGATAGTCAGATACCTTCTACTTTAAAACGTTTTCCATTAATTTCCACTCCACCCACCAAAGGAATTTGGCTTTAACTTTCTTTTCTTAATCCACTAAGCAATCTCATAAATAAAAGATAATCATATGCCCTGCATGTCTGATGTAATTCTTATAAACCTTCTAAGTGTTCTAATATTCATTTACCATTTTGTGAAAATAATATTTACTGAACAAGCTGGATTACCTACCTTCTTTCCCCAGGGAAAAACAACATTGATGAAGATACACTGAAAGGTCTGTTAAGTAGATGTTATTTTTGCTTAACATTCTATGGCTATTCTATGGCCTGGGGCTGACTTGCCTCCCTGATACTGTCCTTGCATTTCTTGCGTCCACTTATGCTGACACTGTCACTCCTGAAGATGCTAATTTATTTTACTCAGGTAGAGAAACACTCTTTTCCCCCCAAGTTTAGATGTTCATATTGGTCTCCCAAAAGGATGGCCTTGCCCATTTTTTTTTCTTACTGAGCCTTTCTCAAAAAACTTGTTTCTCTTACAACAGGGTTGGAGGACACCTGAGGGACCCACCCAGAACTATATCCATAAGCAATCCATCCCATCAACAATGAGTAAGTATCCAGGGACAGAACTCAGGCAGCTGAGTTTACATCATTCACAAAGCGAGTTCCCTGTTGTCTAGCAGTGCTTCTTCCATAAACTAGGGGCAACGGTCTCTCACCTTGGCTGGAGAGTTGGAGACTAGCAGCCCACAAATCTGTTTGCTCCCAAAAGCGATCCTTAGTGTCCTTTTCTGGTAAGTGCTCAGAAATTGGTCTCCTCTAGAAACCATGTCTCCCTATGTCAGACCACAAATATGTAGGCCAACTCTTAGACCCTATTTATAAGGTGAAATATCTCTAAATAAATTGGAAGTAAACGAAATTGCCTACCATCCTAGATGCTATGTGAAGCAAATGAAATTCTTAGAGAGGACCGGTTTCTTCTGAAGACAAATGGATTTTTAAAAATGTGAACCATTATATCTATTGAGCACTCTTTGGTTCAAGAAACATATTGCTAAGCACTAGCTACATGCCAGGCATTATAACTATACAAAGATGCATAAGACCAGGACCTTACAACCTAGTAAGAGAAACCAATATATCAATAAATGATCATAATATAATGGGTTAACTATCACAAGAGAGCTGAATAATAGAATAATGCAAGTAGCTAAGACACCAGATGCCAAAAAGGGACTCAACAAGATTTCAGTGGCCGACTCTAAGGTATTAAGTTCCTTCCCTTTTTATTTCCAGTTGTGCTTCTATTCTTAAGAGGAAAATGTATCACATGTTTTGAGGTGGGTTTTTTTCCATCTAGAAACACTAAGTAAACAGCACATAATCAGTTACATAAAAAATTTCATTTCTAATGTTATCTTTATTCCAATCCAAACAACCTATTGTTAAGACTCACTGTCATCACAGCTTAAAATATTTTCTCTTCAGTGAAAAAAATTCCTTCTGACTTGGAAAAATTCTTGTTTTATGACATTAAAAAACCTAGATCTTGGTGAGAATGGACTTAATGGGAACAAATGTCATTATTATCCTATGGTATTTGATTAAATATCCAGAGAAGAAACAAAAATGTGTTGGATAAACTCCCTTACAATGTTTATTAAGTAAATACCTATATAAAAGATATATATATAGAGAGAGAATAAAAGTATTAAAGAAGATAAATTTCTTATTATCAAGTCTTATTTTCCATGATATAAATGCTCCTATCAAAAACTTTCAATTGAGGTAGAAAGCAAAAAAGGTCAGAGGAAACCTAGAAAAGCTATTTGTGAGATGATCTAACTAGATGGCTGGAGAAAAAGAAAAGTAACACTCCTAGAACTAGCCCATGCTCCCTAGTCCTGTTCCTCATCCCCATTCTCTCAAACCCATATAATGGCATTTACCCACAGCCCCTGCACCTACCCCATCCCTACAAGTATGTGTGCATCTTCCTCCTGCACAGTCTCTTTCAGAATTTTTTCACTAGAAAAAATAGTTTCATGTGGCTATAATATTCATGAATATTAGGCAGAATTAAAAAGTTAATAACTACTTAGTTTGATTTAAAAACAAGATCATAGCTAACATGTTTAGGAGAGACTCTAAGGGTATGCCTTAAACTGAAACATGTAAGAGAATGCACTAGTATAATTAACTAGCCTAGTTAATTAAAAACTAGTGTCATCATTCAAAATACTCACTGAAAAGTCTCTTTCTTAATGAAAAAGATAACAAGAAGGTAATAAGGAGTTCTTATTAGCTGTCTATCTGGCACCCACATCCTTTCATCCTCATCCACACTGGAACTACATCAGGAAAATTAGAGAACCCGTAATTACTTCACAGAAATAATAAAAATAGAATAGTAGAACTGAATATTGCCCAGTGTCCTAATGAGATAAAATAAAATATATGAAGAAGAAAAAGCACAGAGAAAAACTTACTTGCAGTATCCTGTGCCATTGTGGTAGGTAACACATACTCCATCATTAACACAGAGCTCAATGCCGTCCCGACATTGCAAAGCTAAAAATAAAAACAAACACACATTAGAAATAAGTCACTAATCATAACCCTCAGACATCAAAGAAATGTTATCCAATCTAAGTCAACATTCGTTCCCATATCCAGCCTGATCTGGGTTTCCTTTTAGAGTTTTAATCAGGTTTTTTTTTTCTTTTGGTTTCTGGGGTCAGTGTCTCTTCCCACAATAACTGTTTTGTGGTCTTGAATGATGCTTTTAATTATCTGTGCCTGGATTTCCCTAGATTCGTATCTCCCAATGATACTAGGGAGATTCAAACTATAATACTCATGACAGGCCATGAGCATCTTGGGATTTGGACACTTCAGGTGAGTAATGCAAAGATTCATCAATACGTATTTAGGAAGACCAATGTAGATACTAGGTCACCACCATATTTACTACTGAAGCCTTCAGGTGAGGCTTCAGAAAAGGTCGCTTGAAGTAATGAGACACATCAACAATATTCATTCAACAAACTGTAGCTGAGAGCCTAGTATGATACCAGGCATTATGTTAAGATCCAGGGGGAAAAGGAGAAATGGAATACATAGAGAAATATATAAAACATAATCTCTAACTTTAAGGGGAACAGATCGTGAATAAAGATTGTAGAGGAAGAGGAAGGGGATCAAAGTAAGGAAAATGAAAAAGTTCATTTATACATACAGATAAAATAATTCTCAAATTCTTGAACCCCGGTCCCTTTACGAGGCAACAAAAAGGCACTTCACCACCCTAATCCCTCCCCCAAACAGGCTACTCAGAAATAAACAGCGAAAGTAAAATGCTTCCTGATTTAAGCCAAAAGAGGAGGAAAGCTATCCAAAGTCTGTCACTCACTTGCTACATCATGACAATCCCTTGATTGTTTAGCTTTCAGAGCTGGAATTTTCATCAACAAAATATTATAATTCTAATAACTGAAAAGGCAAGACAGAAAGAAACCTAGTCAGAAATCCAAATCAAAGTTCATGAACTTTTTCCTGGAAGATTATTAAGATTTCCATCTCCTGGGATGGCTCATGTATAAATACCTGAAAGCAAAACTGAGAAGTGTCCAGTTTGAGTTTCTAGCCACACCACTCTCTGACTAAACTGCAGTATCAGAGGCTCTAGGCCTGCCCTTCCTGGGCATCGAAACCACTTCTTTTCCCAGCAAGGCCCAGGCACAGGCTGATGTTAGAAAAACTCCTCCATTAACGGTTACTGCAGAAGATCCCTGTATTTGACCAGTTCTCTTATCAAATGATGGAACTATTTGAGAACATGTTTACAGAAATCTCATCTCTTAAAATAATACTTAAAAACAGTAATAACAATAGCAGCTAACACATAGCGCTTACTAAACAGCAGGCATTGTCCTAAGCACCTTATATAGACAAATTCAATCTTCCCTACAGGCCTATTGAGATAGTATAGGGACTTGGGCCCTGGAATAGAAAATACCAGGTGGCTAGGAAGCCAAGATGAGACCAGGTGACTGGAAGGAACGCAAGGACGTCACCACCCCTCCAAGAGGTAGCTGATTTTATCGCCCTTCTGAATGCCTGCTTAATCTACTGACCCACATGCGGAGCTGATCAAGGTCTGGCCGCTACACGACCTTCCTGGGGCAGCAGCAATGAGTAACACCACCATCTTGCCCCATAGTGCAGGTACAGAGACAGTTGCCCAGCAACCCAACAGGAGGAGAAAGTAACCCTGCCCTGACATGAAACATTCCACTCCCCAAACCCCTTACCAGGCCGCCTCTTTGCGCAAGCCGGCCTTTTTGCGCAAGCCCACTTCGTAAAAACAGCCATGCAGAGCCAGACCCTGAGCCACTCCAGAGGGCCTTCCTTTCTCTGTGCTGACTCCCTTGTGCTCCAGCATAAGCTTAATAAAATCTGTCTGGAAATTTTTCTGGGGATTCCTCTCAATTCCTATCTTGGGGAACCCAAGAATTCTAATGCCAGTAACAGTATGAAGTAGTTAATTTCATTTCATAGGAAGGATAAGTAATCTGCCTATCATCACACCGGTTAATGAAAGACCCAGAATTTGAACCTGGAAACTCTGGGTCCCACGAGAGTTTGTGCTCTTCACTGCAGTGATCCACTGCTTCCCACTATCTGGCATATTCCTTCTCGGGATGGGCAGGATAGGCATTATTATACCCACTCACTAGAAAGTGAAGGCCGAGAAGGTACAGTGATCTCCTCACAGGGCATCACACCACTAGTTGGCAGTGCTGGGCCTGGGACCTAGATCTCTTACTGAGTCCAGCCCTTCTCCATGACCGCTGCTGGGATCACACAAGCCGTCCCTAGGCAGCAGCTTGAACAGGCAGATTCAGGAAAAGGGTCATCTTGTTGTCTATATCCCACTTCCCTGTAGGGCTCGAATGCTCTCTCTTCCCACACTGATAAGCCCAATGCAACAACTATAATTAAAACAGTTAATGTCAGGTTATTTCCTCCATACCAAAGTTCTCAAACTGGTTTTTTTTTCATTCACTTTGGACACTTTTATTAGTTTCAATGAGAACTTCCTGACTTTTTACTATTTTTTTTCTTTAAATAAAAGAAGAAAACCTCACAGTAGGAAAGAAATGTCCCCCAGGCAGAGAGCAAACTGCAACTTTGTCCTCCCCCTGCAGGGATCCTGGTGCAGCGAGGGAGTCAGGAGACTGAAATCCTGCCTCTACCACTCACTAGCTGTGCTACTTACTACAGGCAAAGCACAACCTCATGCAGGCTCATTTCCTACCTGCAAACCGATCTAGGCTGAACTAAATGCTCCTGAAGGTCCCATGTGATCCAACAGTGACACCTCCCTCCTTAAAAGCATAGGAGTGGCATGCCTAGTACCTGGAGAAACTGTCCAGAAAGGCACGAGGACCCGTGGCCCATGACTCAGAAAGCCATGGGTGCAAAAAATAAATAAATAAATAAATTCACAGCCTGTCCCTATTAAGCATCCTGGCAAATCAATACAGTGACAGGTTCAGAGAAATACAAACAACACAAAGTCAATATGTGGTAATCAATCTTTCAAATAACTTTACAGCCTAGCCTTAGTGAGCCAATCAAATTCCATGACCAAAAAGGAGGTGGGCTTACAGGGCTAATAATTAATGCCATCTGGCTAATCTGTAGGGTCATGCTACCTTAAACTTTTAACATTTACTAAGCCACGTTTCTCAAATTTTAGTGTGCAGCGGAATCATTTGGAGGGTGTGCGGGACCCCACCCCCTCAGATGGTGACTGGGTGGGTGTAGAGGGGGCCTGGGGATTAGCATTCCTAGCCAGTTCCCTGGTGATGCTGATGCTATGGGTCCGAGGAACACTTTGAGAGCAACTGTACTCAAAAGAGTGTCCACTTTAAGGACTCCCCTAAGATGACATAATCCATTGGAGGTCTGGGATGATCCAGATGAGAACACATTGCCTGAATATACTAAGAAAAAATAAAGTAAAATTTCAGACTCATGACTTTGCCTGCGGGCTATTTCTAAATGAATACTGTAATTATTTGCTACACAAAGAGAAGTTAACACTTTGATAACTCAAAACCATGACAGTAACTGGGAAAGACCTCATTTTAAAATTCAATTTACTTTCCCCCCGAATGTAAAGCATATACATTTACCAATAAAATTGAAAGCAGCTTTCTATTTGTAGGGGAAAAAACCAAAATGCTCAATTATACCACAGCTGGAGAACTGATGTTTAAATTAATGTTTTAATAGACTCAGAGAAACTAGTCGTTCACAAAAAGAGTAACTTCCCCCCCAATGTTCATCTTAAGCCATAAATGGCAGTCATGCAATAAATATTGGCTGACTGAAATCAATCACATAGTGTGTGTGTGTGTGTGTGTGCTCACGCACGCCTGCCCACCCCCTCCCCCACAAGAGGCAAAAACAAGGAGGAGCAGTAGATTTTAATTTCATCACTCCATCACAGGGCAACATGACATAAAATCTAGAAGCCAATTTCCAAGTTTCACACATTTTCTGTGCAGCATATTGGGGACTAGTCTTCTAATACTCAGAACATAACAGAGCATCTATGATGTAAGGTACAGGCCCTGATGTCAGGGATGCCATGGCTAACAGAATTCTATTAGGGAAAGACAGCTAATAAATGGATAAACAAGCAAAGTCATTTCAGACAGTGGTGACAGATTCTGTTGGAAACAGAACCAGTTACTGTATACAAAGTAATCACAGAGGCTGGGTGCATGGGACACAGGAAAGGCCTGTGTGAGGAGGTATCTTTAAGCTAAGGTTTAAATGAGCAAGAATCACGGAAATATGGAGAAAGAGTAACCCCGGGCAGAGGAAACAGCAAGGGTACACCCTTGAGATGAGAATGAGTCTGCTATTCCAGGTTCATATGCCTACAGATTGTAAAGGAGGTAGAAGCAGCAGGAGACAGGCCAGGGAAGCAGGTAGGAGTTAGATCACGGCTTCTCCTCTAAAGTGAGGATAAACTACTGGGTTGCTTTAAGCAAGGAAAATGACACAATCAGACTTGGGTTTGAAAAAAGTCAAGATTAGCCCGACTGGTGTGGCTCAGTGGTTGAGCATCAACCTATGAACCAGGAGGTGACAGTTAAATCCCCAGTCAGGGCACCTGCCCGGGTTGCGGGCTCGATCCCCAGTAGAGGGTGTGCAGAAGGCAACTGATCCATGATTCTCTGTCATCATTGATGTTTCTATCTCTCCCTCTCCCTTCCTCTCTGATATCAATAAAAAAATTTTTTTTAAAGAAAAAAGTCAAGATTATACAATGTTCCAGAGATCAACCTTTTTTTTTTCTTTCTGATACGAAATTATTCAAGTCATCCCTTTTTAGACTAGGCTGAAGATATCCATTGTCTCAGCTCCCCCCAAATGGTAGATTTCATTCTAATTGCATCTAACCTCCCAGAAGTACCACTTGCAACGTGTCACTCCACCACTCTCTAATCCAGCGATTTTAAACTTTTTCATCTCATGGCACACATAAATTAATTG